ATAGTTCACAACTTTTATGTTTACCTGGATGGAGCTGAAACATATTCTTCTTAGTAAAGTATCTCAAGAATAGAAGAAAAAGTATCCAGTGTATTCAGTACTACGTTGAAATCAGTATAAAGTCACCTACACATTCATAGGAATGGTAAAACGTAACCATCTGAGAGATTTTAAAATGCAGACGGGCTGGCTGGTTTTTCTGATGTGTCTCGTCACGATGCTTTTAAGCCACAGCTCTGCTTTGAAAAGATGGGCTCCCCTATGGGAGTAACTATCGCAAAAATAAATACTTTATCCAAGCTCCTATTCTCAAGATAAATATCACAGGAGTGACCTGAATTCTAAGGAGGACTGGGATTAAATGAACAATACTGTAATTTTTTTCTGAGCCACGTACGTGTCAGGGGACAGATTTGAGGGCTTTTGAAAGATGTCCACGTTGCTGTCAGACCCTCCCTCCGGTCCTGGTGGTTTCTGCCCTCACTCGTCCTCGCTTGGAGCTCTGGTTGTGCAGAGGGTCTCCGCTGACTGCTGGAGCCGGTAGGAGGAAGAGATTTCTGTTGGGGTATCAGATGAGTAGGGATGATGGACCTTTTTGAAAGCAGAGACTAGGAGGTGAGTCCCAGAGAAGTCTGTCACCTACCTGAGCCGTGCATCAGCCCTGGGGTCTCACATTCCAGGGGAAATATAACATCCCGGCGGGAAGTCTGCAGCTCGCCTGACTCTGAACAAATAACCTCTGACCCCAACTTGGGCTCCTGCCGCATTTGTCATTCAGGACAGTGCTTGGAAACCTTCTGCTTTAATTACAGATGGCAGGAACTGAGTGGGTGTGTGCTAGTTTGGTGATGTCTCATCTGAAGCGATGTGGGTTATATTGGTTATATTGCTATATTTTCAGTTTAATCAAGCGAATGAAATCAGAATTGACACTTTGAAAATCCAAGCTTTAGTTTCACCAATGGGAGCCAAGATATTTATTAGAATGATTTATCATGTTAGTATATTTTTATTATAGGCATTTATCTCTGCCCTGAACAGCTATCCCTGGGCCCTGACATGTTGAGACCGGCCACACTTTAATTTGCTGTCATCCAAGCTCCGTGGGGGTTACCACCCCCCCCCCATGCACCTGCTTCACCCCACAAGCTTTCCCTGCTGCCTTCTCTGAGTGGATGGCTAGCGCAGCTTTAGCCCATGACATTGAGAACATCTCACTGTAGTTACTTCATGAGGGATGGGACCCTGCCTTTCTGTTGCGGTAACCCGAGCCAGCATCTTAAATTGAGGTGTGGCTGGCAGCTATACACACAACCGGATTTAAATAGCATCTTCCATCTATGATGCTAGAGCCCCAACCCCTCGTGGGCCTCGAAGCATGCCAATTTGAGATGCTGCCAACCCCCCCTTCCCCCCACAGATGGAAACTGGAGCAGCAGATGGGCTCTCCCGGGGACAGGCGTCACCACCCCACCTTCCTGCCTCTTTACAAGACAACCTGGCCCTTTAGTGTGAAATGTGGTTGTCATGGTGATGGGTGGACAGCTGCTTAGGAGGCAGTTCGAGAGGAAACAGTGACTTGAAGGAAAGGGTCACACCCAGAGAAGAACTCACATTGCCCCTGGACACCTCCTACCATGGTCCCACACCAAGGAGTGGGCGCAGGGCTCTGACATCAGCCTGTGTCCTGCACCCCAGCCACACCCCAGGCCCTGGCCTGGAGCTAATCCGGGGGTCACCTTCTCTGATGAATCTGTACCTGGGGCTTTCCATCACCTAAAACTTAGATGCTACTGTCTGCCAGTTCATTTCTTTGTTTGTTTGTTTTCTGTTTTGGAGATGACTAGAGCCCATTCACCAACTAGTGAAGCAGGACAGGCCTCAAGGAAGTCAAGTCCATGTGGGAAGGTCCCCATATTGGGGCATTTCCACATAAGAAGCTGAAATACTGATAGGCACTGAGTGCACCTTGCCCATAGCAAAGCATGCTCGGAGAATGCTTCTGTGGGGACGCCCGCAATCAGGTTTTTTTGTGAGGATGCGAACACCATCTGAGGGATGCGTCCTTGTTGCATCCTCTGGGAGCTGTCGCTTGGTGTTCCTGGGCCATAGCAGGAGGAGCAGAGCCAAGGGCAGATGGGGGAAAGAAGCCTGGCTCCAGTAGAACTTTGAAGGAGAGGCCCCAGGATAGTCTTGGCCTGGCAGAAAGGGGCACCGTCCACTTAGCTTGGTCAGGGCAGCGTCTACTGTAGTGGGCTCCCTGGTGGATCACTGCCCCCTGGTTGTGGAAGGATGAATTCTGCTCCTGAGCCTCCAAAGGGCAGTCCCAAACAGGCCAGAGCCTGCCCTTGGGATGTGCCAGGATGGCAGGGTGAGGTTCACGTTCCTCTGTGTGGTCTGGCCAGGCCTGAGAGCTCACAGTGATCAGAGGGAGGGACGGTCCTTTAGCTTCTAACAGAAGGGCTGGGGAGTCAGGGACCAAAAAGACCTATGCAGGGGCCCAGCTGTGCCCCTGCACCCCTCAGCTCCAGGGAGGGCAGTCCCATGCAGTGCTCTGGGGCTGGGAAAGCAGGGTTCTCTCCTTTTTTTTGTTTTGCAGATTTTGGCTGGGGCTGAGTTTGAACCTGGTACCTCTGGCATGTGGGGCTGGCGCCCTACTCCTTTGAGCCGCTGGTGCTGCCCCAGTGTTCTCTTCTTTCTCCCTGTCCCTAAAGCCCAGCACTGCTCCCCACCCCCTCACACCCCTCACATGCCCACCGCCTCTGGAATCCAGCGGCGTCTGTGGTCCTGGAGGGAGGCTTGGCCAGGAATCGTTCTGACTGCTTGGGGTGCGGCATGTCTGTCCCCATCGGTGCTGGGAGGATGGGTCTAGGTTTTAAAACTTTTCTCTAAACCCCCAGAGAGATGGCGTTTCTTCACAGAGCACGCCAGTGGTAGTTTCCCAAGTGCTGTGAGAGAACCAGCCTTCGCTCCCACACCTAGGGCCTCAGTTGTCTCACTTATAAGGCAGGAGTGGGAGGACCCATCTCACTTGTGAAACGCTTTTGTAAACCCCAAGGTGCTGCACAAATGTCACTTATTATCATCAGTGTCCTCATTGTCACTAGTAGATTGTTACTCTTTGATAGTTTATTTCCAGGACATTCTGGAACTGGACTTAACCTGGTGGCTTACCAGAACCCTTTTAGGGTTGGGCCACTGGGGCCAGTGCTGTGAATCTGGCCACTATCTTCTTAAATTTATTAACTGAAGTAAAGGTAATCACAGCCTGACATCATCTTTAAGAGAAGACTTATGATGTAGACTTGGGGCATTTTATTTTTCATAGTAGTAAATAAGCAAATTTGCATTTATTCTTATCCAAGAATCTGTTTTCTTTCAAAAATTGGTATTACCACTATGGAAAATAGTATGGAAGTTCTTCAAAAATTAAAAATAGAAATACTATGTGATCCAGTGGTTTTACTCGTAGGTATGTTCCCAAGGGGAGTAAAAGCCAGGACTCAACAGATGTTTGCCCACTGTGTTCAAAGCAGCATTGCTCACAGTAGCCAAGGGGAGGAAGTAGCCCCAGTGTCACTGATGGGTGACAAAATGTGGCCAAACAAAACGTGGCCGACACACAGAAATAGTACTCAGCCCTGAGCAGGAGGGAGATAATCACACACTTCAATGTGGAAGAACCTTGAAGACATTATGCTGAATGAAGTAAGCCAGTCCCAAAGCCGCAAATACAGTACGATTCCACTTACGTGAGGTGCCTTGAGTAGTAAATTCACAGAGATGGAAAGTTCAACGGTGGTGGTCAGGAGCTGGGGAGGGGGCAGTGGGAGTTACTGTTTAGTGGGTGCTGAGGTTCAGTTTGGGGAAGATGAAACAGTTCTGGAGATGGCCGGTGGAGATGGCCTTAGGTGATGGTTGCACAACCACCTAAGTATACTTAATGCCGCTGAACTGTACACTTAACCAGTGGGTCAAATGGCAAATTTTATGTTACATGCATTTTACTACGATTAACAAAAACGATAAATAATAAAATTTAAACATGATTTAAAGAAACTTGTTTAGAAGTATGAAAGTGTGCATATTGACTACATCAGAATTTCGATATGAGATGTGTCCGTGTGACACACACACCCACACACCTGCGTTTACTGTGCATACCACTCATGGCCTGATACACCCATACGCCTGTGTGCACGTGCATTTACCACGTGTTGCATGACACACACACACACATGCCTGTGTGCACGTGCGTTTACCATGCATCGCATGACACACACCCCACACACCTGTATGCACGTGCATTTGCCATGCATCGCATGACACACACCCCACACACCTGTGTGCACGTGCGTTTACCATGCATCGCATGACACACACCCATACACACGCCTGTGTGTTTACCACGCATTGCATGACACACACATGCCTGTGTGCACGTGCGTTTACCACACATCACATGACACACCCACATACCTGTGTGCACGTGCGTTTACCATGCATCGCATGACACACACCCATACACACGCCTGTGTGCATGTGTGTTTACCACGCATTGCATGACACACCCCTGGGCACATGCCTGTGTGCACGTGCATTTACCACACATTGCATGACACACACACCCACACACACACCTATGTGCACATGTGTTTACCATGAACCCTCATCACATGACACACACCTGTGCACACGCTTGTGTGCACGTGTGTTAACCACACATCACATGACACACATCTGTGCACATGCCTGTGTGCACGTGCGTTTACCACGCATCTCATGACACACCCCCACACACCTGCGTGCATGTGCGTTTACCACGCATGGCCTGACACAGACACCCACACGCCTGTGTGCACGTGCGTTTACCACACGTTGCTTGACACACACACCTGGGCACACACCTGCATGCATGTGCGTTTGCCACGCATTGCATGTTCAGTTTTAGTAGCTCGATTTATTTATCAAACAGAGTCTTTTAACTTTCTGGTTTCTAGGTTTGCAATGGTTTGGAGCAGCCCAGGAAGCAACAGCGCTCGGATCTCAATGGACCGGTTGACAATAACAACATCCCAGAGGTAATTATTTCCAAGGCTGGGAGTCCTGGTAATGGAGCTGCCCTCCCCCATTTTGCTCTGCTCACTAGTCTCGTCTAGTGCTGAGGAACAATGGGCCCAGGGTGAGCCCAGTTGAGGTCCATGTGTGGGGAGGAGCTGAGGGAATGCTGGCCTGGTGGGAGCTGAGGGAATGCTGGCCTGGTGGAAGCTGAGGGAATGCTGGCCTGGTAGGCAGGAGGAAAGGGCCTTTCTGCCAAGTAAGGGTGAAACCAGAGTGTTCCTATCTTGCTCATGTGTGTGGTGATGGAGATCACAGGTGCTTCCTGGTTTAACTCATTCTACAACATTGTCTGATAACCATCTTCTAAACCAGGGTTTTCTCCAGTGTCCCCATTGACAGTCAGGCCTAGGTAACCATTTATTTGGGTCTGTCTGGTGCCCTGTGGGATCAGGCCTAGGTAATTGTTTGGGGCTGTCTGGTGCACTGTGGGATCAGGCCTAGGTAACTCTTTGTTGGGGGCTGTCTGGTGCACTGTGAGATCATACCTAGGTAACTCTTGGTTTGGGGGCTGTCTGGTGCCCTGTGGGATCAGACCTAGGTAACTCTTTGTTTGGGGGCTGTCTGGTGCCCTGTGGGATCAGGCTTAGGTAACTCTTTGGGGGCTATCTGGTACACTATGGGATCAGTCCTAGGTAACTGTTTTGGGGCTGTATGGCGCACTGTGGGATCAGGGCTAGGTAATTCTTTGTTTGGGGGCTGTCTGGTGCCCTGTGGGATCAGGCTTAGGTAACTCTTTGTTTGGGGGCTATCTGATGCACTGTGGGATCAGGCCTAGGTAACTGTGTGGGGGCTATCTGGTGTACTGTGGGATCAGGCCTAGGTAACTCTTTGTTTGAGGGGCTGTCTGGTACACTGTGGGATAAGGCCTAGGTAACCCTTTGTTTGGGGGCTATCTGGCACACTGTGGGATCAGGCCTAGGTAACTGTTTGGGGACTGTCTGATGCACTGTGGGATCAGGGCTAGGTAACTTTGTTTAGGGGGGCTGT